TCACAATTATGCCCTTGCAGTGATCTAATATTCTCCATTAGAGAGCATGAAATCAAGACAAATCGCTGTGTTTAGGGAGGACTGGTAGATCAAATACTTCCCCACACATGAAAGGAGCAGTAAGGCATGGTCACATCATGTGAGGGCTGTTAGGAATCTTTAAAAATCAAGACTAACATTCAGCTCTTACTCAGCATCACGTATAACTAAAATTATTAAGAAAAGGCCACAGGCATATTTAGCTTCAAAGCTGGTTATTGCTACCTCGTATTAATGTTGATTTTTTAAAAAAATAAAATTAAAAATAATGCTATCTCCCAGCAAGGCATTCTGATTGGGAGTACTTTACGAAAAATGAAAACATTTCAAAACAACATTCATAGTTTTACAATATTAATTTAAGTCTTACATGTAGTTTAAGAACTTGAAGTAAAAAAAAAAAAATCACAAGCACACATCAACAGCAGCACTGTATACAATACTTCCATGACAACAGCCTATACATTTACCTCACAAAATTATAAGCGAGCCACCCTTGCTTATTCCTGTACGAAAAGAGGAGTAACTTGTTAAACTGAAGTTCCTGGGTAGCCATGCCATTTTCTGAGTTAGCAGTACAGCAAAACACCATTTAAAACTGGGGTAGCAGCCTTAAGTTTTGACTAACATTTGATGCAGTTCAGGGCTTTCTCCTCCAGTCACCCACAGAAGGAGGCATCCCTTAAAAATAAATCCAGTTATTTTGGAGACAGACCTTGTGGTTTGCCTTTTTAAGATCAGCATTTAGGTGATCAGCAAAAGGTGAAGACTCCAGCTATCCTCTCCTCCTCCGCAGTAAGGAATTCCGGGAGGCACAGGGAAACACTGAGCTTTTTCTTACTGTTTCTTTTTAGCAATCGGCAGTGCCAGGTAAAACACAGGCCATCATCTTCTGATGATATTCCTGCAACAGCACAGGCTTTTATCAGAGGAGGAGGCAGCCATTTACCAACTCTTACCAACTGTAATACACAGTGAACAGAGAGACATTCAAGTTGTTTAAAAAATACACCCTCAGTGTACTCCACAACGCTTAGTGGTAAAAGATTATCCTCCTAAATCTACAGACAAGAAGATAAGCATTTTGATGAGGCTCAAGGAATGTTACAGCCTCAGACTGTGGGGCTGATTGCTGGCACTGGGAGTCCAGCCATCCCGTTACCACTGCACCAGCTCCTCTGCCCATCCTGCTCCCAGGCAAACCACAGGGCCAACCTCCAGCTCCGTACCTGCTCCTGGGCTCGGCTGTTGCTCACTCCTTCACTGTGCTGGCACAAGCCTTACCTGTTCAGAGGCCTTTCCTTCTGGGACATGTCTTGAATTACATCCTGCTTTTTAACTGTTCTTTTCTCTCTCAAGTTCCACCCTGTAGATAATTCCTTTATATAAATCTGCTGATTTAATTCACTAATCCAGAGAAGAAAAAAAAACTAATTAAAATGGGTAGTTTTCTTACCAGGTTAGCAAATCTGAGTGGTTGATGAGAAGATGCTATGAGCACCCCAGTAAATGGAAGGGAGGCAACAAAACCAAGCTGGGAGCTGGTAGTGGTGAGCCAGCAGACTGACACAGCTGTCTGTGAAACTGCAGGCTACTTTAAGACAGAGCACACAGAACACTAAAAATAAACTGGACACTTTATATCCATCTTGAACGTAAAGAATCTTTCCAAAACTCTGAAGAAGCTTTACCCTTGCTAGCATCAGACTTGAACACGTTTCCAAACCAAAGTATGTTTCCACACTGTGCCCTACTCCCTCCAATTTAAATTACCACATTAGCCAAGCACCAAGCCAACAGTAAGCATCTTAAATTACCAAATTATTCTGCAGGTTGCTGTAATTACACTGGCCATATCTATTTGTTTGGTGTTACAACAACAACAACAAACTGCCCCCACCTCGCTCAGCATCCTGCTAACATAGCAAGACACCTCTGGTCCACTCAAAGGTGAATTACTTTACACGTTACCAAATGAGACAACACCATAGAATGCACATTTAAAAATACCATTTATAAAAACAGAAATTTATTGTCAATTTAAAAAAAAAACAAACTGGGATTAAGTTTCTTGATAAAAATTATTCACACAGCATTCATGTTGTGATTTTTTATTTTATTTTTTAAATGAAACCATTGTACATTGTACAAACCATAACTACCGATGGAATAAATAAGTGAAAAATTATACTGCTGTACAACACACACACACACAAATCATAAGATGGAAAACGATTAGGTATTGAAGAAAACAAAATTCTTTACACCTTCTAACAGGCCCTTAGATATAAAGAACATTCCAAAACATGACAATGTTTATGTATGAAGAGAGCCACCCAAAACCAATATTTTATACTGCCTTGTTGATTATTTTTTGTTGTTTTGTAAGTGCCAGCACTTTTTGGAATGTTTAACAACTACTTTCCCAAGCATAAAAATTCCAAGGAATAGTTCTGCTATAAAATGTTTGGCTGAGTAAATCACTTATTCGGAAGGCCTTCCCACACGTTCCACAAACTCAGCTAATTTACTTGCTTGCTTTTAGTTTCTTTTTTTTCCTTTTTCTTTTTTTTTTCTTTCTTTTTTTTATTTTTTGTATTTATGTGTAACTGAAGCTCCAACATTCAGCATTGTAGCAAGGAAGCACTTCTTGATATTTGCACTATTTCTAAAACATTAGCTGTATGAGAACTTTCAGTCATCTTGAAGAAAATTACATCTCTCCTTCTGCTCCACGTCTCAATGCTTTCAATAAACCCTTTTACAGTGAGTTCATAAAACAAGTTTCTGGTAGAGATAGGTCCAAGCCAAAAAAAGCTGGATTTAGATCTGGTTTCAAACCTCAGGTCGATTTGAATTCCATGTTCTGGTTTGGTCCCATCTGTACTTTCTGGCATTAAAATGTGTTTAATCACATCCGTTGGCCCATAAATGTTATCAGGCACTTCAAAAAAAGACTAATAACAGTCTTATACACTATTTTGGATTTCTTCATACCAGATAATGTCAAAGTCTCTTCCCTTAGAGACTGACAGTAACAGGTCTAAGGAACCCAAATCTATCTGCTTGTTCAGTTGTCTGTTGTCACTAGAATCTCTGGTTAAAAAAAAAAAAAAGAAGAAAAAGTTCTGAATGTATTCTGTATAAGCTGTAAATAAAGCATTACTACTTCAGAAATAAAACCTCTAGGAATATGGTGATGATGCCTTGTCTTGTAAGCCACAGAACACTGAACAGTTCTGAGCAGAAGCCACAGGAGAGAAAAGGAAGTTTATAATTAAACCTGTTGATGTCAATAATGCCAATAAATGCTTCTATCTAATGAAAAATTTGAGGTATTTTTAGTGCTATTTATATATTTTATTTCTTCCTAAAGTACAGGAATTAGTTTCTAAACAAAAAGTCTATTTACTCCCTTGGAAACATCTACAAAATTAAAATTAAAAACTTGCTGCGATGCACCTGAAGATAGGGATTAGTAAACATGACTACTTGTCAAAGGTGGCATCAGATTTGTTTTGTTTTAGCATTAAAACCAACAAAAAGTTAGTAAATCAAAAATATTTTTAAGTTTGAATCTTTCTAAATTTGCCCATTTAATATATCAATAGAACTTCTCACAAAATATCACTTAAATCTGAATGCAATATACATACAAATCAATCATCATTGACCAGTTATCCACATTTTAGGCATACACACAATTCAAGAGAGAAATCTACCGTTTCATTGCATATATTGTGCAAATATAATTTTTGCTCCTCATTTTCCTTATTTTCAGAATGTTAATGGGCTTCATGATCAGACCAGAAATCCCAAAAACTTATTAGGGAGCACACTGTTTTCATGAATGATTTGCAATCAAATTTTATTCAGTTAAAATCCAAAAAGTTTTATTTCAACATAAAGGAAAAGTTCCGAAACTGAGTGTCATACGTTATTTGGTGTTCAATCCTACAAACATCTTAAGGAAGGTCAGTATTGGCTCCCCACTCCTCCCTCCCTCTGTCCCCTCCCACACACTTCCCCATTGTTTTTCATAATAAAGTGGTAATTGCAAACGCAATGCAGTAGTCTAAGTGCAAGCCATTTTCACTATTGGAGAATTCAGAAATAAATAAGCTTAATGAAGAGCTAATTATGAAAATGTATCAACTGGAAGCATTTTTTTTTTTCATTTAAAAAAGTATTTACAGTTCTTTAGCTTACAAACTATATGCAACCATTTTCATAGCTGTGAGATCATATTTTAAATTACAAGTTCCATCTCCCACACAAAGTGAAGACAGACTAAGGGCCTGATCCAGCAATCCGTATGTACGCGCACGCGCGTGTGTATAGAAGTGAGAAACACGCGGTTCCCACCACACCTGGTATTTATAACTGGGAGCTCACCCTGGAAGTACAAAGCCCACTGTAGGATCAGGCCCTTGTTGACCTGATGCAGATGGTTCTGCACTTCTCCGTGCCACAAATTCGAAGGGAGTTGCACATACTTAGTGCCTTTCAATCGAGTTTAGCATAAGCACACTTCAACGCAACTGGAAAAAGAGGAACATTTCTAACAATGATGTAGGGACAATGAAACAACAAGGCTTATTTTCAAGACTTGCTGAAAGAAAAGAAAAAAAAAAAAAGAAATCCCAAATACAGTATTAACCTGGAACACAGAAGTAAACATCTTATAAAGAAACAGTACAGTGAAATCCAGTTCAGTGAAAACATGATATCAAAAAAGACCAATTGAAAATAAAGTCACTGTGCATCAATCCCTTTGATCCTATTTATGTACATAGTGGAACTTTTCTGTAAAGCAAGTTGTACCCAGTACAGAGATCTGGATCTAATACCTAAGTATTTTAACTGCTGTGTTATAGTATATATTCAGATCTGGACTATAAATGGTAAACAGATCATGTTAACTTCTGATGAAGTTAAGTATTTAGAAGACCAAATTTACAGTTGCGAATGCCATGCATTCAATAAAAGATCTCCACTATAGCTGCTAAAATAAAATATCAAGCTCCTTTTTCTCCTTGGACTCCAAGAGTGAAAATGGCTTCCTGATCTGTATTTATTAAAAATTTAAGCACCAGGGATTTAAAAATTAAAAACAAAACAAAAACCCCCAAACAAAAAAAGAAAGAAAAAACAAAAAAAAAGAAAAAGCCTTACTACATGGCATTATACAAACATAGGCCACTTTGCAAAGGAGACAGTTGCAAAACAACTTTTAAAAGTTAGCACTGTTTTCAGAACACAAGGCACAAAACAAAAGCAGACATCACGCCAGAACAATGAACTTCACATGAAAGCTAATACCTGACCTGTACCATCCTTAAATATCTTACAATGTTAAATAGAGAAATGAAAATAAACAAAAAAAAAAATACAGCAGCAACATAATTGTAATTTTGACTTTAGAAACAGTGCGTAGACCCCTCCTGAGTTGTTTACTCCAACCATTTCAGAGACAGTAACTTAAAAGTTCTCAATGTTTGTTTCACAGGAAAAAGTTTTCAGTGTCTGAGAAGTTAAACCTTTGTTAGGCTTTCTTGGATTTTTGCTTGGTAACTTGAAAAGTTAGGAGTTCTGTCCTCATCCAAGAGAAGATGCTTAAGTAAGGTTGTTCTATAATTAAGCCCACTGATGTACCTTACATAAAAACTGATCAGAAAAATCTATAGTCTAAATCTCTTCAACATTTTGTTGGGAAGCCTCTACTTTCATCTTTTTAGAAGGTGGCACTCCTTCAGAGTCCTTAATGAGGGGGGAAAAGAAAAACAACCACGTTATCATTGCACTGAATTTCAGGCACCATAAACATCAAACAAAAACACAAACAAATTCCCCAGAGTGTCCTTTGTGAATACAAGGCATCCCTGTACCTGACAATTGCATGACCAAGTGCATTTGGTTCCTGAAATCACTCCTCTACTTACATCTTACCCCAAAACCTTTACACTTGTCGCCTATTGACAAAAGGCAAAATTCTAGTTCTGGGCTAAAAATCACAGTGAATATTCCAAGCAACAGCCTTGACGTGTGGTTATACCCAGACTTCCCTCAGCCCCACATGGGAGCACAACCCACACCGAGTGCATACTGTCTCCTGCTGTAGCCAAATCAATCTCTACAGGACAGAACACGCAAGGTTTGGAAAGCACAAGTTGTGCATTGAAACAAGCCAACCACCCACGAGGGAAACACCAGACTGAGCAGTGCTCTGCCCAAGGATCTCAGTGTGAGAGGGACAACTACAGGGATCATTTTTCTCCCAGTCACCTGGAATTTTTCACTGTACCACTGAGTAAACACCAAAACAATTTGTCCACTAAATCTACAAAAATTAGCTTTCCTAACTGCTCTATGCATTTACTTTTATCGAAGGCATTTTACTTCAGAATGGTTCTCAAAGGGGCCTGTCCAGCAGGTTACACCCAAGCAATTTATTAACATGAGATTTTCATATTCTCTTACAAAAATAACACACAACTGGTTTAGGAAACCAAATAGTACACCAGATCAATCTGGTCCTACTGTTCAAATTATGTGAAATGCAAGAAGCCAATCAAATTAACCACAAAACCAGATACATGTACATTTAATACTCTACAGCTGCTTTACTGTCATCACCTTCAGAAATGAGCCTAAATACACAACTGGCTTCCTCACATTTGCTTTTTGGTATAAATGTTCTTTTCCAAATTCCAAGCAATTGGGCTTTTGCGCTTAAAGTTACCTGAGAGTTTTTAGATGCCTCTGTAATTATATCATTTTCTCCAGAGGACTGAATTTCTGCTTTCTCTGAACTATTCATGGAATTTTCCATTGAAGACTGTGAATTCTGTTCATCAGAGGTATCTGCAAGTTCAAGAAATAACTTTAAACAAACAAAGGAAAGCATTCA